TTTGTAGTGAGATGGTCTGGTCATACTCACTATAAGGTGTGTATTATGACTTTGGCAATTAACCACACAATGCAGTAATCTCTGTGATATTGTGCTGTTAGAATTAGATTACGATCAGGTAATGGTTGTCTACTGCGTAACTCCTTGCCCAGGTATATAATGGGTGGTCTTGGGGTAGTTGGATCAGGTGAGAAATCTCTGAATGTGCACATAGAGGAAAATTATTATAAGGGCCCATTACACAAAAATTTTTACCTAAATTTGGTCTAAATGTTTAGACCAGAATTTGAGTGTACATGTAATTTGACTAAAGTAAATTGGTAGAATTCCAGTGTAATAAAATACATTTTTTTTTTCTGTTTTGTAAAGACAAAAGCTTGGCTGATGATTTTAATCAATGCTAAGTTCTTATGTTAGTGGTACAGAATAGCTATAAATTTATCTAAAAATGAAACAGTTCAAATTATGAGAGCATGGTAGTTAATTACCCTCTAGCTGCTGGAAGAAGGATATCAGAGAATTAAGCTGATTCCACTGATTACACTTTAGCAAGAATTCCCAACAGAGTTGGACCGACAAAGCTAGTACGATGTGTGAATTTGAATGTGGTTGAATGTGTAATCATAAGTACACTGATGAAGTTGATGCGAGGGTTTCTGTGAAAATTAGCCATTAATTGCAAGGAAATTATTTTAAATTTATGGACTGCTAAGTACTATTTTGAGGATGGGTTCATTATAAACATTGTTCATTTTCCTCTAGAATGTGATCACCAGAGACATACAAGTAGCGAATACAATTTTTTTTTCTGCAACATGTCTTTCTGCATTACACACAAATTGTGTGTACTAGTGATCATTTCTTATCTGTATATATCATGGTCAGGTAACACCTAAGCTGATGGCAGATATCATGGTGATGGTTGTATGTGACACTCGCCACACTTCAGAGCTATTACATTACCTCACTCCAGGTGACTTAATAAGTGGCCCAATCTGTGTTTAAGATATACCACTACAAGGAAATGAACATGCTAATGGGGCAGCTTGGGGACAGCTTTATAAAAGGACTTGTGTCCCAAAATTGGTCTCATCTCACAAAATTACATCTATAGTATTTCAGTTCAAGATATCTGTTGTAGTTGACATGAATGAAGCTAAGACCCAGAAAACATGTATATTGGATCCTAGAATAAAGTAAGTATTAGACCCCATTCCTGTAGATGTTATTGGTCTATTATGACCAAGTCTGCAGGGACTCTCGTGAAGTGCACTCAGCTTAACTGAACAGCATGCCTGCTTGTTTCCAACACACATGCATTATCACCAGTTTGTCTGTGCTGATGATGAATCCGTGTGTGCGTGTGTTTGTGTACCACATTTCTGTGCAGATGTGCATGGTTTTGTCGTGGAATTAAAGGATGATACAAGTGGTTTAGGGTAGGTACGTGTGGAGCACCGTCTCTATGAAAATGAGGATGTCAACATAGGAAAGATAAACCTGTAATGACAAAGTTTTTTCATAAATTCTTCATATTGTAGAAAGATTTAAGCGTTGGATAACTGTTGGATAATATTATGTTATGTCTTAGTAATGTGATTGGATTATTTTTGAGGAATGTGAATGTCATCTCTTTCACTGAACTTGAGATGATTGCTTACAATTGTAGACTGCATTCCCATAGATTTAGATCGATCAATCTAGATCGACCTAACTCCCTGGGGGTTCACGCTAAATTGCTATTAGTCGAGCGCGCACGGTAGTTAATTACCCCCTTACAGCTTTTAGTAGGCAGGACAGACATTTAAGCCGGCTAAGCTGACAGTAATCAAGTGAGACTCTCCACAGGGATAGATCGATCTAAAATCTGTGGGAATGGGTTCTTAGTTTTTGTTGTAGAGAAATGTGACATGAAATGTTTTATTTACTAGTAAGCATACTTTTACTATCATGCTTAACTTGCATGATGATCTCTTAGTCTCAGTATGCTTTGCTGCAGAGCATTATTTACTTACCTTTTGAACAGGTAAGAAATCATTTTAAGTTTACTTTAATTGAATTGAGTGATACCAAATGGTTGATCAAAACCATTTTAATTGAGAAAAAATGTGTCTGGCTTAAGATCTTAAACTAACAGAAAAAATCATTTTGTTCTAACCCTATATATAACCAAAATTCTACTTTGTCTGATGCCATGGGGTATTTTAGCAGTCAAATTAAAATAAAAAAATCATGTTCTTATCATACATTTATCTTAATTCTAGAGGCCATTTTTATGTCAAATATGGTGTAACAAGTGATTGTGATTATCACACATGCATAACCTTTTTGCAGCACACGAAAGGAAAGTACAGAGTTTTACAGATCTGCAGTGTAAAATTATACTTATCTTGGCACCAAATGCTGCTTTCCACATTGTAAGGCTATTCAAGAAGACGGGTAAAGGAAGACCAGTATGTTTTGTCATCCTGTTAATAAAGTAATGACAAACTAAGTGCCTGTTAGATGCCAAAGTGTGGGTACTTAATTGAATGCCCGTTGTGTCAATGGGCTTTATTGTGGTGAAGGTCAAAGTTACACAACATTGGTCACAGGTAATAGGTTACGTACACCTCAGTGTTCAACAGTTACTGGCTGTAGTATATGTACATGTTTATCATCCTTTCCCCATTATTTTGTTGTTTGGTTAAAGCAATTAAGGAAATTTAATTCAATATTACGATAATTTGTTACGTGAGGATTTTTTTCACTTCACAGCAGTAACAGGTTACGTAAATTTCATTTAGAATTTTATCAGAGAAAGATTAATTTAATTAAATCTGAAGCTTTGATAATATTTGGAGAGGAATTTTATGATTAGTTGAATGTCCTTGACTTAAATTAGGTAGAGTCTGTTACTTCAGGGCTTCTGATCACCAGTGAAATTAACATCCTTCAGGGGCGGATAGAAGCCGTCTTTTGAGTCTTCCAGAAGACGGTCAGATTTTCAAATTTACATTGATGGTTATCTAATTTTCTCTGACGGAAGACGGTTACAAATGGAGGATGGTTCAACAAAGATATATTGTAATTTGGAAGACTGACAGAAAATATCTCTGCATCTGCCCCTGTCCTTGGTGTGTACTATCAATAACATCAGTCCGATGTCCTTGGTACTATCATTTGTAAAGGGCACTGTGTATATTTTCAGGAGGGTTACGTATGATTTGACATAATTTTATATGATCACAAAATGAATATTACTTATTTTTTTATTCTTTATTGTTATTAAGTGCAGTCTGACACAAGTGCATAATTGTGTACTTGTAGCTGTTAACGATGTTTGAGGGAAATTGTTGCCATTTATTTATAGCGTATAAAATCCTTTACTTGATCTTTTCATGTATGTCTAAGTAAATTATTCCTATTTTGAATATTGTATTAATTTTATTAACTAGTGTTTGGGGGTACCAATCATGACTTCAAAGGTGTATCATTCATTTTAACATGAGCCAGCTATGGTCCGTCTATCCTTATAGATGTGCTTTGTCCTTCTATACATGTATTCTGTCAAAGGAGGTCACTTTGAATCAAATATCAGGAACTTCCCAGGGACATCTTTTTGAAGAGTGATTGACATGATTTGCGACTGTCATTGAAGAATGCAGGTCAACTATGAAGTCTCCTGGGGTAGACAGATGAGGCAGTGAACAGTCACATGCTATGATGAACCACAGGCACAGGATTTGAAAATATGGGATGCAGTCGTTGCTCAACTGTTACCAAAGTGAGATTCCCCCAGCCCTCTGTGACACCTGAATCTGAATAAGCCAGTATACACCTGGTGTGTTTTATAGTCTCAATATTGTCACCTTAGATTTGATGTAGCAGAGTACAATTTTCGGTGATTCAGAATTTGTAAATTATATGTATGTATGTATGTATGTATGTATATATGTATAATATTCCCTCAAGTTGGATTTTACACCCACAGTTTTCTCACATATAATCTGTTAATTGTATGTATTCTGTTAATGGTAAGGCAGAACAAAATGTCATTGTATTGCATAATTATATAGTGCTAAATATTATCAGACTTCTCCCTTTCCTTGAAGTAGAGCAGAATCTATATAGCTTAATGTTTACATAAAAGGCAGTGGTATGTGATAAAGAAAGCATTTTATATCTCTGTACAAAGATTATCTGTAATTTTGCACACCTGAACCAAAAGAGAGAGGTGTGCAATGATTGTAAATGGAGACCTGTTCAGAAGTCAAATGAACCTGATCATCTCTCCTTTCTCACATTTCAAGCAATATACATTGATGTGGACTGAAGGAGGGTTACAATGGACGTATTTTAAGCACTGCCAAAAGAATAGTTCAGTGTCAGTTTCTCACCCCTATCACACTTTTTTCTTTCCCTCAGAGACACTTACCCTCATCTTAGGGACAAAATTTAATATTTTCTTTACTCTTATTTAGCTATTTTACCTGAATGAAGAGAAATAAAAAAAAAAAAAACAATCAATGTCAACAAAAAAAGATTAAAAGAAAAACAGACCTCCACCCTTTGGAAAAGTAATAAAACCTTCGAAAGGAATAGAGTCCATAACATTATCACATTGTCTTTGTAACCCCTGCCCCCTTCTCCCACTGTCGCCCTCCCTATGTGATACTCCCTATGTTTTCAAAGAGGAGCGTGTGCAAGACCTCCCTGAGTGACCACATATTAGGAGTGGTGTGCAGAGGTTATCCATTCAGATGATGGTGTGGTATGCCATCTCCTCTGTAATTACTCCTGATCCAATTATGATGGTTTAATTTCAGTTCAGTTATATTACTAACTGAGGCTGGACGGGTGACTACCATGTGTGTACTTGGAGACTGTTCACACTGGCTGGTTTGAGACTGGGATTGGGGCTCACTTGTGTTATCAGACAGCAGCGTTAGACAGGTTCTTGTATCCCTTGAGTAATTATTATTATTACTGTTGATTTTTATCAGTATTAAGACATCTGATAGAGGTTTTAAGGCCAATTTTTGGTCATAAATATTGTTGGTCCTCAGACAGTGAAAGTTGGTCATAGAAACTAGAAACTCTCTATAGTTAGGGATCTTGCATTGTTTGTATGTGTGTGTAAGGGAGAGAGAGAGGGGGGTCATCTGCTTTGAAGTTATTTTTATGCTTTTATTACATAACAGCTAGCATCTGCATTTTGGATATCTTTTGAAGTTTGTTTGATTTGATTTAGGGCTACACCTGTAAGTGACAAACAAATGTTCTGTCTTTCTTATCTTTGCTTGGAGGTTGTGACTGATGTCAGTCGATTGAAACTGCAAATATTGATAATAGAGATAACTCTTAAGATTAGTATGTACAAAGGACGTTGTGAACTTGAAGGTACCCTCTCTGAGATTTTCCTACCCTTTTTGTGAAAATAAGCTATTTTTCTCCTGCTCAAAAATTTTTCCTGTTAAGTTTATACTGCCATGACTTCCTGTACGTTTTAGAAGGAAGTTATGTTGACAGTAGATACTTAAATTTGTGGGGCTTTTAATAGTTTTTTTTTATGTCTGAATTGGGAACGATGCGTAGCTTTGCGTGGTATGTAGATAGAAAATATTATTTTGGGACAGTTTGAAAAGCAGATATTATATCTTTGAAATAAACATGTGTAGAAACTGTAAAATCCAAAGGGGTTAGTATTTAAAAAAAAACAACATTTGATAGATTTTGAGGTAAAACCAATTCATTAGTATTTTTGTTATCATGTACACTATGGTGCATGAAAATAATTCACTAATAACACTCTAGTTTAGGATTGATGTACAATTCAGGTGCAAAAAGTGTTAAGAAATGATGTGCAATGCAAGGCCCCCAGACTGCAACTTGATACAGCAATAATACTGATGGGCCGCTATTAGTCTGTTGGCTGCTCAACTTAGGGTGCAACTTTTTAAAAATCCAATACAAACTTTGCACACTGTTCATTCTTCCCTGGGACAAAGTGCCTCTTAGATGCTGATACCGATAGTTTAAGAAGGTATCCGTGTGCAGAAAGGTTGAAGCAAGGATTTCTAACAGAGACGTAGGCAGCCTTCACAACCAAAGTTGGTCTGCAGACTAACAGACCCGGGGATCAAATATAGTCGACCCACTTGAAAGCTTGCCACATAACCCCCATGGGTAATCTATTCAGTGTCTTTTAGGGGTTTATGCTGCAAACTTTTAAGTGGGCCAGCCATATTTGACCAGTGGATTTGTAAGACTGAGTTCCCACAGATTTAGATCAATCCATCTGGATTGACCTAACTCTCTATGGGTTCAAGCTAAATTGCTGTCAGCTTCCGAGAGCAAAAAGTTAATTATGCCTTACAGCTTTTAGCAGGCAGGATAGACATTTAAGCCGATCAAGGCGACAGCAATCTAGTGAGACTCCCCAGGGGGATAGATTGATCTAAATATCTGTGGGAATGGTCTCTAAGCCTGTGGATCAACTGCATGGTTATGAATGCTGCTATACAGATATGTACAAGGTGAGTGCATATATGGTAGTGCTTCCTGGAAACTTGTCATATTTCAGGACAGCACATTAAGTCTTGTGCATTTAAATTGGTGAATTGCCAAGACTGACATAAAGTCACTTCCTCAAAGTTGTGATTATAGGGAAGTCATTTATTAGCTAAGTACAGCTTTAAATTTCAAATCTTATCCCATTGTCAGTGCTTCCCGTCTCGGTTCTCTGTTAATTGTCAGTGGAGAAGATATCATTATGATATAGTGTTGCTTTATACCTGGCAGTGGAATAAACTATGCTACCAGTAAATGAATCTCATTGTACATGTTCATATACAAGTCTAAAACAGAGCCAGGGTGGTCTAAGGTGAAACATATTGAGTATAACTGCTATCACATTATGACGTGGTAAAAGGTTGTAAAGTTATGATTAGGTTTAAGGGTAGTTCAGGCTTCCAAAATCCAAACTTACAGTTAATTTTTTATCTATTGTAGCTTAAACTCTCTTAAATTAGGGAGGTCAGAGAAAATACAGTGTTATTATAATGAATTAAAGCATGATGGAACATGTTATGTTTCGACTTAAAGAAGTTGATTTTAATTGAAATTACCTTTAAAGGTTTGGTTTTCAATTTAAGACCGATAAATCCTTTTCAAAGCTTTATAAGTTGCTTTAATTTATGCCTTAGTGCTCCAGTTGGATTCATTGACCGTTTGAATGACTGCACAGTAGTTTGAGGTCCTTGTCAGGGCTTGTTTTATTGAAATGCATCTTTAAAGTTTTGATAACAATGAACCAGAACAATGAAGCACTGGGATGGCTTAGTATAAGTTTCAATGGGGCATGTGGCAAATGGTCCAAGATCATGTTTTGGAGCCCAGTTTACAGCAACAATATATGTCATTTCACTACACCGGGAGAGTGAGGGGGTCAGTGCCCTATTACATAATTATACCCCTTCTTAATATTGAATCCTGTATATTGGCCATGTTGAGTGTGAGGGATCTGTTTTGATGTCTCTTAGAGCGGATTCAGATAGACCCAGGGTACTAGCTAGGTCTATCTGTATGCAGTCTTCCATTAGTAGCCAGGCTATCATATCTCATGAAATCACCGAGAACAGTTCAATTAGAACTGGCAGGGATCAAATCTGATGGAATTCCTGATTTTAGGGCAATTGCAGATTATGTAATCATTAGGGTTAAGTAATCATGCAAATTTGACACCTGTAAAAAAAGAACGGCGTTCACTCCTGTAGTTGCAACAACTAAGAAAGGCCACACACAGATGTGATGTGGTGCATTGTCAAGAAACAAGGCACCAGCAATTGGTGTTAATAGTATCATCATTAGGAAATATGTTGATATGAAGCAACTGCAGTTTCATCTTTATTTGTGCATTTTTTAAACTGAACTTTGTTCCTCTTCTTTTCATTTCAGGTTGAGAGTAGGAAATCAATAAACCTTTTAACAGCCGTCATCTTAACAAAAGTAGGACTTCACATCACTTTACCATTGTGTCAGTTAGATAAGACCCAAAGCAGTGAAGTGTAGAAACTGACCAGTGTGACAGCAGTGGACCTAACAGAAGGGGTGTGTTGACCTTGCTGTACAATCAAATCAAGCAGGACACTAAGAAGACATATAAAGCATTATTTCTGCAGAGGTTTCGTTTTCAGGTGCTATTAACAAGGTGCTCTTGTATTGATTGCGGTAGAGACACTTTTAAAGCGACAAAGGTTGACAATTCAACTTGTGTAGACAATATTCCGAGCTCATCAGGTGACACTTACATACATGTATACTGTATTTACTAATTGACAAAGGGAGACTTCAGTATGAAATCTACAAATACCCAAGCTAGGATCTGTATATATTTATTCCTGTTAACAGGCTTCTTGTCACAAGCATGGTGTGACAGGACAAAAATAGCAAATAACCAGTCTGATCATGTTGATGGTGAGACGCACATTTTCCTGAAGCGCATATTCGACAAGTATGGAACAGACGGTTTGCTGACTTATGAAGGCTTTGAGCACCTCCTGGCCAACTTGGGCCTTGGTAACATTTTCATAGACCATGACCTAAAGTCACATCAAACAGACAAAGGTTTTAAGAACTTGCACAGTAGTCACAACCATACCCATGATGGTTCTTCCACAACCAGGAAGGTGCATTCACCCCTGAAGTCGGCCTCACTAAAGAGAGGTACCTTGGAAAAGGTTGCTCAGAAGGAATTGGAAGAGGTAGACAGAGATGTCACTGCAGAGAACCAAAGAGGTAATAGAGAGAAGCCCAGAGATCACATGGTCACACGACGAAAACACCAGCATCATCACAAATCCAATCACAAGCACAACAGGCAACACGACAGAGTGCGTAACAGGAAGCCAGAGGGTTCTCCGGCATTGCATAACGGCACTACAACACGGACTGAAGGCACTGAGAGAAGTCGATCAGGCAGACAATTGAGGTCAGTTGGGTCAGTGGACAGAAGGGTCAGGGCCATAAATGACACCCAACTGGCCCCCACCACAACACGGCCTGGACCAGCCGAGCAGCCTTCTGAAGGATTGTCATGGGTAGGTTATATTTATGTGTGGGTGTGCACGTGCTTATGTGCATGTGCATGCACAATTGTCTGGTAGAGAAAGGGAGTTTAACTGGCATATTATTCACCAACAAGATGTATGAATTAGAAGTAAAGAGAGTGACATTATCAGAGAAAAATAACAAGTCAAAATGTGTACACATCTGTATGTTACGTAGGTATTATAATACATGTTTACCTCATAAAAAAAAACTTCAAGCATGTTCACTCAGAATGGTTGTATAAATAGAGCAGTTAGAACTGTATGGTACTCCATGCAAAATCAGGCCATTTCAATTTTGCATGGGTATCTTTCTTCATGGAATTCCAAAACATTGGCTTGCTAATGCTGCTTTTGAAGGCATTATAATTCCATTGCTTTTAGAAAATATGACCTTGGCAGGAAGTTATTTGGATAAATCATCAAATCATGGCATTTTTTCCTCCTTAATCAAATTAAAGCTTATTATCTGTAGTCTTAATCAGAATCAGTTGAGTTGCCATTACAATCTGAATCAGCGTTAATTTAAACTCTCAGAAATAGTTTCACTAATAAAGTTGTCTATACCTGACTGGCTTCAACTGCATTTAAATTGAGGAAATGGGTGTAATTTGACTTTTGAAAAATATCCTTGTAAAAGACAAAAAATTCTGCACTAAGGTAGAATTAATTGCTAATCAGCTAAATAAGACGTTTATCTTTGATTTTCATGCAGCAGCATCAGAGCAGATTATACAACAGAATGAGTTGAAAAATTTGTTTGTGATCAATAAATGTTGATATTTTATTCTTGAAAATAGCTTACTAGATTAATAAACCATCCGCTAAAGGAGAATTAAAAGCAGCAGTACTAGTGAGAGAGTAATTGGACTAACCCTGTATCATTTGCTTTCTGCCTCTAGCCCCCTGTTACAGTAAGCTCAGGTGATCCATCTACTCAAACTGCACAACTGCACCTTACACAAGAGGTAATTCTCTGTGTTGTCTGATCACGTTCAGTGGCGACATCTACAGTTTAGTAATGATAATGATCACAGTGACATCTATGCAATCATTGGAATTATTACAAATATTTCTGTAAGTGGCAATAAGATTGCTTTGATTGTATAATGCATGCAGTGCACGTGTTCCTTTGTAAGATTATTTCAATTGGCCAGAAGTTTATGAAAAGGGGAATTGCTTGTGCTTTGGTAATAGTGGCGGCTTCAAAAGCACACTAATTCTGGGGAAAACATTAACACATTTGAGAGCTATTTGGTCTTGGCAGCTTTGCTATCTCAGTAAAGATTTATTTTCATTTTATTTTATTTCTTATGCATTTTGATATTGTTTCTCACACCATGTTTCTGACTTCCTTTCAAATAAATGTCTTATGATATTTTGGAATTTTTTGTAGCAATCCCTAAATTTTTCTTTTTATTTGTTTATTTTTGGTAAACTGCTTATCGGTCATTTTGAGTTGAATGTGCTTAATATTGGGGTTTTCTGGTAGTTTTATAATTTAGAATCATTATATAATTATTTACTGCAATGCACTCACTGTGTGTGAACTATTTCATGTTGCTTAAAATTTGCAGTTGGATCTTCTAAGTGTATTTTTAGTTCTTGTGTGTGTTTGCGTGTATGTGTGTGTGTGTGTGCGTGTATGTGTGTGCATGCATGTGTGTGTAGACATGCTTGGTTGGCAAGTGCCCCTCTACGAATGCTGAGAACATCTCAACACAGTGTGCCATCTCAATTACTGCATTTTGAAACCATATGCTCAGTTATTATATATCATGGCATGAACACACACTGGGCTGTCACTTTGATCAGTTAATGAATCTAAAGATAAATACTTTACTTTTTTCAAAAGTGTGTGTTATACTATTGGAGAAGCTTCTTATTTTTACAGTATTAGAGCTAGTTGCTCGGGATAATAACAAATTTGATTTAATTTTTCCATAAATGCTACACTAGTTTTATAATATAAACTGTTTAATATGCTATAAAGATTCATTCAATTCAAATGACAGCCGAGGGCACCTGAACATGCACATAACTGTTCAATATTTTTATGAAAGTTTCATTTACTGCTCTAGCAGGTGTGGCTTCTGTTGCAGCAGTCTTACTAATACTCTGACCATAAGGTCCTGTCCATGTCAGCTTATTCATTTTCAAATGCTAGTTTCCCTAGGTGCTGGCAAATCCTAATGAAAAAGTCCTATAGGATCCTATAAGATCTTATAGGCGCCTATAGGAAAATAGGCCAATTTCCTATAGGATCTTATAGGACTTTTTCATAAAGGGTATTATATTGTACCAACCGAAAGACTTGAAACTGAAAAAGTTGGCATGGGTAAAATCTGAAAACAGGCTAGGATTTGATAATGTTGCCTAAAACAGTGCTTAAAAGCTTAAAGCATGTAGAAAAGGAACTTGCATGTAGTCCTTAAAACCTTGTTTTTCAGCTGGAACACCCCTAATTTTGGTGTTCTTATGACAAATACAGGTGGAAGTTGGATGTGTCACCTTCCCTCCTTTACCCTGTGACTCAAATAACTGTCTAAAAAAGTTTTGGTGCTCTGCAGAGCCAAATGAAGCTAAACATTATCCTAACATGTGTCTGTTGGCTTCTTCATCTTTCTTTAAGTTGTCTGCCAAAAAAAATCAGAGTGTGTAATTCTCCTTAAATATCTTTTAACTATCTCGTCTGAGCATATACTTTGCTGATGGACCATGAAATAGACCCAAGGGTAATACTGGAAATGTCCTTCACCTATCTTGCAACACCTGTCATTGTTACTGCTGCTGATTTTCAAAAGACTAACCTGAAACATATCCATGATTATTATTGCAGTGTCTGACCCCTGCTGCCATCTTGGCTGCATTCAAGGTCCAAGATGCCCCCAATATTACAGAGGCGCTGTTCATGCGTATATGTCCTGCACTGGTCTATCAGCTGGACAGCCATTTATGTCAGAACAGGATCATTCAGGCGCACGATCACGAGTACAAGCACGAGCAGGATGACTACTATTGGCTTTATGAAGATTTTGATGATCACATTCATGGAAATGATTCAGTGACGAAGGTAGCAATTGCTGGAGATGATAGATCAGCTAGAGGTGAGTGTCTTTTATTTATTTATTTATTTATTTATTTATTTATTTATCTGGGAGAAGTTAAACATGATATATCAGGTGATATTCTATGGTCTTCAGTCTGCATCTTATTTGATGGGCCCTCTCTCTCTCTCTCTCTCTCTCTCTCTCATTGTTGGTGGATGTGTGTTATTGTTGGTCAGACATGTCAAGCACCCCTTAACATACATGTGTTAAGAAGTGCAATTTAAAGGAAATGGAACTAGAAACCAATTATGTCCTCCAGCTTCAACAACTATAATGTCTACTCATATTATTCTAACTGCAGTGTGGGGGTTTGCCAGTCTCTCTGTCATTGTGATCAGCTTGGTGGGACTCCTGGGGGTGTGTGTTGTCCCCCTGATGCAGAAGATCTTCTACAACCACCTGCTGCAGTTTCTGGTAGCTCTGGCTGTGGGCTCACTGACAGGGGATGCCCTGCTGCATCTCTTACCACATGTAGGTATAATTATTACTTTTACAAGAGGTAAAAAAATAATGAATTTCAAAATAGATTAACAGTTGGTTTAATTAGAAGCTAATTAGAATTAAATAGTTATAGATGAGTGGATGGAAATATAAGAAACAAAGAAAATGAATAGATAAATAGAGAAGTAAATAAATGAATGGATAAGTGAATGAAAAATAAAGAAAAAAGGAAAGATAATGTTATTTAAGAATAAAAGAAAGGACTGATTGTAAGTGGCTGTACAAGTATAATGTGTACTTATAGAAGAATACCCTGGTATAGCCTGCTGTATTCTTCCAGATGATTACTAGATCAGTGAATTTTCAGGTTTCTGTCCTTTTCAGTGAAAATAATTTTCAGGTTTATATTTTAATGCTTTGTGAAGAAGATACACCTGGTATTGTTTGATCAGGTATAGGTTCAACCTTTTTGAGAAAAAAAATCTGTGGAAAATTTAAGTTTAAACATACAAAATGCATACCATGCAATCGTATTTCATCAGGCCCTTGGTTCCCATGGTAACGATATGGAGACCCAAGATGACGGGCATAATCATGGCGGACCCGACACCAAGCAGGACCCCAACCGTGCGGTGTGGAAGGGCATTGTGGCACTGCTGGGCATCTACTTCTTCTTCCTCTGTGAGAGATTGATGAGTCTGTATTCCTCACACAAAGCAAAGCAGAAGAAGAAGAGAAGGGAGATGGAGGAGGAGAGACTGGCTGAGCTAGCACAGGTAGGCAGGCTTAGGCTTGATAATAGGCTATTGGAAATCAGGCACAGCATTCAAGTAGGTGTTTTTTCACCTTATAAACATGGATAAATTTTATTGAAATTCATTTATTATATGATTTTGATTTTAAGTAATAATATCTAGGTAATGACTAATTTTTTTAATTAAAAAAAAAAAAAACAGAAGGAAATGAATGTGCTACCAGAGTTGAAAGTCGAAGGCGACAGTGAAGAACCTGTTGTTCCCAAACCAGCACATGAACATCACCTGACGGTAGAAATAGCGCGACCACGGGCAGACAGCATGTTCAGCTATTTGACCCGACCACGGGCTGAGAGTTCAGTCAGCAAGCGCAGTTATAGGCCACCTGCCAAAGACAGTTCACTGAGCGATTCCAAGAAGACAAATAATTCTTGTGAAGATGTTTTGATGATGCATAACAAAGGTAGGCAATGAGAGCGTTAACAACCTTTTTATTATTATTATTATTATTATTATTATTATTATTATTATGAAAGGTATAATTACATTAGTCGATTCGGTAGAAATGATATCCCCTCACTTTTTCTCAATGTCTAGAGTATTTATTTGTCTCTATTTAAGGATACTGTCACAGACTGGTTCACATAATAAGTATACCACTCAGTGTGAAAAGTCTTTAACCAGAGCATTTACTTTACAGAGCACTCTTCTGTTGACATACATGTGCCTTCTTCTTTTTCAAAGGGGTTTTAAGTTTGAATAATGATAAGAGTGGACCTAAATTTATAAGGATAGGCTTCATGGTAGAAATAATGATGCTGGTTTCTCTTCAACACAACACTTACATACTTAAATTTTATGTAACTGAGTAAGAGGGTGTGCTACTGGTTTTACTGCTGTGTGATTTAGATTGTTTTTAAGGCACTTATGGAATTTTATTACTAAAAGTTTGTGGACTTCCTTTTTTCTTCCTTGACAGTTATGTATGAATCATGTGGTCTTCTTCCATGATTATACTGGTTGAGATAACAAGAAGTGTGTTTTGTCCTCATGTACACTTTTCATGTTTAATATGTGAGTTTTGTTTGTATTTCTGGCAATAATTATCAGAGGATATTAATTGTCTTTCATACTTTGAGCATGTGATTTTTCGGAGCACTTTCAACTTTCTTGCTTGCCAGCAGATGTCACTTTTGCATTTGCCACCTGGACTTTGACCACGCAGCATTATTTTTCTTTTTTCATTTACATTTTGAAACAACACAGTGGCAAAAAGGCATTCTCTTTTGTATATTTTTAGCAAAGACATGCATTTATTATTAAGATACTGCAATCCGTTTTGAAGATATACTGTGTAATTAGGCATTTGGCTCTTCAGTAGTTAATATATTAACCAATAGATGGTGTTTGTGTGTACTTACATGTACTAAACACTAATTGTGCTTTGGTTCTCAGAGCAGAAACGTTCCTGTGCAGCAGAACCACTCATAAGGAACCAAAGGCAGAGAGACCACTGCGGTCGCATTGTCCATGTCAATTTTGATAAATATTCTCCACACTCCTCCTTTACCAATCACCGTCGTAAGTGTGTGTTAATGTAACATCAAGTCTGCAACCATACTTAACAAATATATAATGGCACTTAGGCTTAATTTATTTGTATGATAATTTATAGTTATTCTTAAAATTAATTTGGATTTGAATTAAAAAAAATACTTTGTATTATTTTGGAGTAATTATGGTTCAAAGTATTGGTTTTTGAGAAAGAGAAAAGAAAAAAATGACATTTTGTGCATAACAATTTTGATGGTTGCTTACTAGACTTGTATGGTATCAAAAGCCCTTTTTGTTACTAGGGTGAATCTCATGTATAAAGATGGCTCCCCATAATGGATTTTGGTCGATTGGCATAATATAAGTGAATTTGACCACGCGCAGATCTTCTCCAGGTTATTGAAGATGTTTATATATGAGATTCATCTTAATGCTTACTTTTGCTTTCTGAATAATTGGCTGCTTTGTTTCCTGTCTTCTGCAAAAGCCATGACCTTTATCTTGGTCATCTTTAACCTTGCAATGTCATTTGCAAGGTCATTGATGTAAACACAACTAACCTTAACCCTAATTCAATTGCAAGATCATTTATTAAAGTAGAGGTCTTATTTTCAGCTTCAACTGCTTTGTATAGCTGCACGATGCTGCTTGCTGGAAATGATATTTACCCAAATATTTGATTTGAGTGTTATGCTGTATTGATAGCTTATTGTTTGTTTGTTATTTTTTGTGTTGATGTTATTTTTTAACATTTGTTTTGTCACATATTTGTGAGCATATATATATATGATGAAAGGCATGTTAAGTAACTTGGTTTTTGTTTTATTAGGTCAGGTTGCTATGATGTGCTACAGTATTTATATACAGTAGTTTGAAGTTAAATTATGGATAGCAGCTGTTAACAAGCAGTTTCATATGAGATCATTTTTCACAGTTGGAGTAGTGGCTAACAATTTTGTTAATAATCTTGAAACAATTAAGTTAGAATTAGCACTAGACATGCTGTTTTATTTGGTCTGCGTCATTTTTGTTTGATTTTGTTTCTGAATAGGAGGTTGTAATTACTAAATAAATAGGTGTTATAAAATGTTGATCCTTATGCTCACCAGAGATTAAGATTTTATTCCATTTCATGTAGTTTGATCTTAAATTTCATGTGTTTGGCTTACCATTTGCTTAAGTGTGTCACCCTGTTGAAAAAATATCTCATCATCCCCCAGGCAGAATATACTGGTAGAACTATGTTCATTTTTTACAACTTTACGTTACCACTTGCAAAGTGCTTAACCAACCAACCAAGCAGCCGCTGTTTTAGATGTTAGAGATTTTTGGCCCTTTGTATAATGGATCATGACAAATGGTTTGATAAAACCATTCTAAAAAGCAATTGTTTTACTTTTAAAATGCAGTTAGGTTTTGTCCTTTATGCAACATCTATAGAGCTCACTCTTTTCCATTTTTATAAAATCACAATCGTGTGTTAATTGATTTCAACTATGACTTTTTTTAATAAAAGGAAAAAAGTGACACAAATGAAAAACGACGAAAAGACTCATTGATATCCCATAACTCCTTGCAGCAATGGCGGAGCTGGCAGACGAAGCCAGATATGAGTGGGAAGATATGGAGGCAGCTGCAGCAGAAAATGAAGCTGAAGAAGAATCCCTGGAGATGACAAAGATGGGAGAAGGCAAGGAGGGAGAACATGGCCACGGGCACAGTCATGGCAAGAAACATGGGCATGGTCATGGGCATGATCATGGCATGCCAACATCGGTGGCATCTGTGGCATGGATGGTGATCATGGGAGATGGGCTTCATAACTTTAGTGATGGGCTAGCCATTGGTAAGTTAATGGTTGTGGAAAGCATTAGACAAAGAAAGCTCTGTCATAAAGAAAGAGTTTGGTTTTTTTTCTCAGAGTGTAGGACTAAGGCTTTGTTCACATGGAATGTCTATTTTCTAAAAATCTATTTTCTATTCGCGCTATCTTATGATCACGGTCTGTGCCCTGAATATCCCGCCGCGTAATTACTGGAAGCGCAAGCCAGTTACTTATAGTAACTGGCTCGGGCTGCCAGTAATTACGCCGCGGGATATTCAGGGCACAGACCGTGATCATAAGACATACCGCGAATAGAAAATAGAATTTAGAAAATAGACATTGCATGTGAATGAAGCCTAAGATAGCAGTGGGGGCTGAGGGGGGCTGTACTGTATTATCCAAGACACTAACTGCTTACCTTGTGGTTAGTGAAGTATAGCATATGTTAGGATAATGCTCTTTTCTTTACCAAACAAAGTAACACAGCAATGACATATGTCGCATAATTTTTGAAGTCACATAAGGGACCCCTTGTCCTCACTCCCTCCCTCTCTCTCTCTCTCACACACACACACACACACACACACACACACACACACACACATATATAGAGCTATGATAGCAAACATCTGCAACTGTGTTCCAGGTGCTGCATTTGGTAACAGTATGACTGGGGGACTGAGCACCTCTATAGCAGTCTTCTGTCATGAGCTTCCTCATGAGTTAGGTAAGTGTTGAAATATGAGCTGCCATGGGATGTGCATTACTTTAGTGTCAAGGCAAATTTAGTGCACATGTTCTTAGGTCATGTGCACCATACAGGATTTTCTCCAGGTGTGTTGTTTTTAATCAGGCAATAAAAAAAAAAGTTAATGGTTGATTGTTTAAAATTTGTCAGGCCTTATTTTTTATAGATTTAGTAATTTTTTTTTAATATAATTTTTTACATTGCTGTGAAAATAACAGCAATTTTTTTAACATAAATAATATGTTTGTATCACAACAATGCTTTTTTATTATTATATTAAAGTATGTATATCCAATATTTCTGTATGTCCCCAGGTGACTTCGCCATGCTCCTCAGGGCTGGCATGTCAGTAAAGCAGGCCCTGGTATACAATGGGGTGTCCTCCATCCTCTGTTTCATAGGCATGTTGATTGGTATAGCTGCCGGGAACATGGGCGGAGCTAGTCTCTGGATATTTGCACTGGCTGGGGGGATGTTCATGTACATAGCACTGGTGGACATGGTAAGGATATGTTGTTAACATGTTGATAGATAAAAAATGTTTATTTCTTAGTTTGTCTGTCTGTCTGTGCTTCTTTCCATTAATGGATTAAGCAGTGTATCAGTAGCACTGAAAAGAAGTCAGAAGTCCTTGCAATGTCCATGAGAACACTGGCAGAGTTTATCCCATGCAAACCATTGTTCTGTACTAGTATCTTTATTAATATGGACCACATGCAAGAGGCTATTTTCAAGCACACCATTTTATTGCTGATTTATATATAGGTGCAATACTAGCTTTGTAAACATTTTGGCATCTGTATAGGACTGAAGTATAAGCTAAAAATGTCTACAGGATAACAACTGCCAGAATGTTGAGTAAGGAGACCTATGATATGTTAACTAAAGGTAAAAATACAAAAGTTTCAGCTTCATGGACATAATGATGTTTAGGCACTGTAAAGGTCTTTCATAGTGATTTCAAAAGGAAAAAGAACTAAAAAAAACCCTCTCCCACATAAGTAAGAGTTTCTTTTTACAGGGAGTTCTAATCATGTCTTTCTCATCACATTTATTATTTAAACCAATAATGATTTTAAAGTATATAAAATTGATCTAATATATTTGAATAATATTTAAAACCCAGTAAATGTGAATAAAAAGAATAAATAGATAGAGATAATTGGCTTGTTAGGTAATATGTGAAATGCAGCTTAGCTGGAAGAAGGTGCCTAGCAGGTTCATATAATACTGATATATAAGCGAGTTCTTTTGTGATACTGACGTCTGTAACAGAAGAAAGACAACATTAAACTTTCTTAAAGATTCGGGTGTTGGGTTACCCTAGCCCTTTTCTGCAACAGTGCTAGTATAACAAAGCCTGAGATGGGACGGGTAGAGGCATGCCTCCTTAAATTTCCTCCACATTTGAAAAAGTGACTGTTTGCTAAACTTCTCTTGTGGTTGTTTTCTAAGGATCTTTTTTTTTCACAGAGCATAGAGTTTATTGTGTTTGCAATAAAATTGTGGAATACATTTCTAGATACATACAACATTAAGCTTAGAATTTCCAAATCAGTGTTTTCCATATGACCTGATGTTGGTTTCTGCTACACTGTTAACTGAATAAGTAAGCTCTGACATGAGATTTTCTGTGCAGTAGAATTTATGGCTCATAATGATGAGAATGAAAACTTGTAAAATGTTAAATATCTAGCAGACTATCAAAAGAATATATCAAAGTGGACACAAGTTAAGAAGCCCTTATTTTGAATAATTTTCAAAAACAGTACCCTGTGCTAACATGAAACTCTGCTTTTGGCACTTACTGTAGACAGCATTCAGGACAGCTTTACCAGGTTTAATGTCCTAAAGTTTTATGTCCAAAAATTAATGATAAATCATGTTGATTAGGGCTAACCAAAGAATAAAATGAAGCATTTTATATATAAATATTAAGCATTTACAAAATTAATGTAGAGTTAAAAAGCGACACAACAGATGGATGAAAAAATTATTGAAAACTTCTTGTCCCCATTTAAATTTAAGTAATATGTAACCTCTGGGTAAAAATGTAAAAAAAAAAAAAATGTTACAGGCCAATGTGTTTTTAAGTTTGAGATATTTAATTTTTTTTCAATTCCGATGTATTTTTGGGGAGGGGTGGCCCACATAAACTATTTTACTATGTGTAGTTGCAAATGTATACAACTTTCTGAAGGCTTTCTTAATTTTTGAAACTAGATCATTGTCATTATGACAAACACTTCAAATTATTTAGAATGTTGCAAACTTGTTGTAATAAAAAGAGCAAGATAAACCTGTCAGTTTGTTTTCTTTTTTATTACTTATGAACCTGCAGTCACCCCTAGTAACTAACTAAAAAGGTTGATATATTTTTACAAGCAAGGTGAATAAAAATAAAAAAAAAATGAAGAGTTTTGTACTGTACTATTCTCACACGTTGTATTCTAATCTGGTCTTCTATTTTTTAGTTGCCGGAACTCGCTAATGTTCAGGAACGCACACACGAGAACCAGTACTGCCACCTGTTGATTCAGAGTGCAGGGATGATGGTCGGTATCGGGATCATGATGACAATAGCATTGTATGAGGACCAGATCAAGGTGGACGCAAGTTAAGGAGCCCTCATTTTGAATAACTCAAAATACAGCACCCTGTGCTAGCATAGAAGCTCCCTTTTGGTACTTATTATAGACAGCATTCAGGACAGCTTTAGAATTTATTTTGTTTTCCAGGGTTATGGTACATATAATAACATGCATTTAGGATTGAAATCTAGGTCACTGTTGTTCAAATCATTACACAATTGAGGGGTGGATTGAGGCCATTTTCTGGGTCCTCCGGAAGACGATCAGATTTTCAAGTTTACATTGATGGGTATCTAATTTTGTCTGTCGGAAGACGGTCAAAAATGGAGGATGGATCAACAAGTATAATTTGGAAGACTGTCAGAATTTATCTCTGGATCCGCCCCTGCAGTTTTCTGTAGTTTGATAGTGCATTATTTGTCATAATATGCAGAAATCAAACTTCTGCTGTCATCACCTCATTGTAGCAAGCAGTTAGAGGGTATTTTTGGGTAGAAGTGCAATGTAATAGCACACTTTCTACACTAGTGTATTGAATTACACACTGGCAGAATAAATCTGATAATAAGCAATATAGTAATGTTATTTCTTTATAAAAGTATTTCATCACATTCTTTTATGACATAGGGTACCAAGCGAGATGCATTTTTAGAAGAAGTACAGTTATCAGAATCAGTATGTGGAAATCAAGTCATTAGATTTAATGAACAAGAAATTTTGTAGTTTCTGTAAATAGTGCTCTCAAATAAACTGGTCATAAGATGTATATATATATGTTATTTTAGTCTATTCAGAACAGTTCAAGAGATGGCCAAATTTCATGTTTTATGCAGTCCTTGATTTATTAGCGTGATCCTGTCTGTGGATAAAAATAAGCAAATTCAGATGAATTTCAGTGGTGTATTATTCATCCTTGTTAATTAGTAAAATGCAAAACAGAATATAACCGGTTGTTACTTGTTTATAATATTTACCAGAGTATTTTTCTGTCATTTGTATATATGCATATGATCTTCCAAATTTAATGATAATTGCTATAATGTTTCTTTTTTTTTGTTCTCTCCATATAATATTTAAATGATGTGAGGTTTCACTGTTTGTTCAGATTGGGAATTTGCAATAATAGGTCAACTAATGTTGGAGGAGATAATGAAGGTGGGAAACTTTGCTTATAAGGTCTCATTTCTGTAAGCTTCCATCTCTATGACTATGGGTCTGTTTTGAAGCATGAGAGTTGAGATACAGTCTAACTGCAATCTGAATATTAATGTATACCATTTCTAAAGGGAAAGATCTGGATCTCTGCCATAGGTACAGGTTTCTCTATAACCTTTATCTCACTTTCACTTTAAGAAGTCATTATATTGTCTTCCAACTTGTCTTTGATCTGCTTTTCTGCCACTTCTTTGAAAGGTCAATTGGGTTTTCATAATGCCAAACGGGAACATATACATAAAAGTGGCATGACCACCTGGCTGCTGCTGTAGGTATACTTCGTAAATACGAAGGACAAATCTTTAAATGTTTTTCCCCATTTCAAATTTCAAAATTTAAGAGCATGCAAATGAAGACATTTGTTTAAGTATCTGTCACTGCTATCGATGCTCAAAATGGTTCTGCCGTGTTTGGTGGCAGTAGACTCGTCTTCAGCTTGATGTTGAATACAGTGACTAAATGTGAAATTTTAAAGAATTATTAAGAAGGTAAGTGTTAGCCAAATGTCATGTGTCATATTTTTGGTTTGTTTTATTGATAGCCTTTATAAATACACTCAGAAGATGGTAGGCATGAAGTATTTCCATATTCGTGAGGACTTGGAGTAAGATCTGTCGTTGACCTGCAATGGCGCTCAGCAAGTTTTATTGAGATTAAAATGGTTGACTATTACATTGACCATGATTAGCGCTCACCAATACGGTTGGATGTGGTTCAGACTAGGTTGTTATAGTGTGTGTTATGAGCCAAGGAACAAGTTGTTGACATTGCAACATGTAGTCCTTTGTTTGAAGCTGTGTCTGCATTCTCATCATAACGTTTCTTAATTAAATTGTAGGTCACCATTGTGTTTCACTTATTAACTTTTGTAATGTCTAGTTAAGAATGAATGAAACTGTGAAATGGGAAAACTGAATAATGTTTTATTTTCGTTACTCTATTCACCTCGAGTTCGGGAGATAAAAAACGAAAGTATGCTTTTAGTTCCTATGTTTGTCGTTTTATTCAACGAATCACTGGAACAAATTGTGAGGCATGTTAACAACAATACGTCACCCTTTGGTGAAGCATTAGTTATGTTGAGTAATGCTGTCCAATTATTAAAAATATACACATAAAACCAATATTTTAGGACTGGTCTTTACACTTGTTGAAAATAAGTCGTTTAAGGTACTTGGAGTATGGGAAAATCTGATCGATAATGCTTTTTGTAAACCCTTTCGCATGATTGGAAGAATTCCATGCTTATTTGTAAAAGAGCAGAACAAATATTTTTTTTTTATCAGAAGTTCAGATGGGGATCTCAGGGCCCCGTAACTCGAAAGCATCGCGCATTGCTACCGAGCGCAATCTTCTCGATTCCAAAACTCGCCCATACTCGCCCCATGTAAAACATTGTAGCCTCTATGTGATATCGCTATTCGCAGTGCGCGATGCTTTCGAGATACGGGGCCCAGGCCACCAGCTGCCCAGTAACAAAATGTTCTGTAGTAGTATGTGCAGTGTTTACAAACCGAAAAATGTAGCAATGGAACGTTCTTTAGACGTGATAAGGGTCCACAGGATATTCTACCAAGTTAAATACTTGTATGTGCCTCCATGTTTTGTACACTAGTGGAATTTTTAATGATGAAATCCAAGCGTAGCTGAACAGTCGAGTCAACATATTTTAGGTAGTCTAAATTCCTCATGTAATTTTAATTATTTTGCAGATGCCATTAAAGTTGTGACACGCTTGCGTTGAGAATAAGCGATTTCAAATAGTAATTGCCCAATAAAGCTCAATGAAAATGGCCATAGTGTCGTAATGTCGTGTAAAAAAGTTATTGTCGTCTGTTTCGAATGCATGTTCTTTCCCAGAAGGTTGGTACTTACTTTTCACGAAGTTAACAGCGGGAATTTACTGTACTATTTTCAATTCTTATGCTGTAATGTAGACAGTTAGAACACTTGGATATGTAGTTTTTTCTTCTTTTGAAATAAATGAATATACCAGAATTAAGACTGTAGTTTGTAATATCTGGGTCACTAAGAAACATCTTTAGATTTGAAAGATTGTTTTATTTTAAGGGAATAACGGTTGTACCTAAGTGCTCGTCTCAAATGAGGACCCGTCGTGCAGGCATATCCTAGTTTGACTAACGGACGCATGAAGTATCTTAACAGACGCATTTTGATTAAATCGCACATGAAGATAGACAAAATGGTGCTCTTTCATCATGAAAGCAGTTGCTCATCCTCTTGGGGATTTAAGCTGTGATGCAAAGCTTATAATCACACGCGCCTTACGTTATTGATCTTTTAATGATTGCTTTACTATTTATTGCATGGATCCATCTTTTATTTAGATAATTTCAGAGATGATTCACCTTTATCTTTTGATAATAAGCTCCCCTTTTTGGCCAGTATATTTTTGGACAGTACTTTTTGCTGTGTGAGATTTTTTTTATTCATCTGGTTTTGTACATTTGGTACAATTTTGTAAAAAACAAAATCCTTTGTTTTCAAATAAATTTATTGATCCATTTTTAGACATGTCTTGTACAGTAAAATCATTCTGAAGTATGAAGGAAAATCGCACAGTCCAACTGACATTTTCAATAATGGCCGTGATACTAGGCTTTGATAAATTCACTTAGGGAGCGTCGAGATTCAGACATCGTACCAGCTGGATCCAGGCCTACCCAACTACCAGACTCGGCACCGAATGATCCTGAATTCACCGGTAGATCAGACCTCACTACCCGTTTTCAATGTGTGTGTCGGATTGCATTACACAGTATCATACCCTGAACAAATTTTGAGTGGTGATTCAATGCTTTTCAACCCCGCTGAGAATCGTCACTTTCACATTGCGTACTGGGCAAAGCGGTGTCGCGTCTGATACTGTGAAATGCGATCTGATACACACCTTGAAAACGGGTGGTGTGGTCTGATCTACCGGTGAATTCAGGATCATTCGGTGCCGAGTCTGGTAGTTGGGTAGGCCTGGGATCGATCCAACTCTGCGGGTATTCTCACAAAGTTAGCTTTCGTTTGCAGTTAATTACCCCTTAGCTGCTCGAGGCGTGTAAGACAATGAAGCTGATAACAATGAGTGCCCTTTGGCGAGAATCCCCGCATCATTAGATTGATCCAGCTGGTACGATGTCTGAATCTGAACGCTCCGTTATAAGCATCAGTGTGTTGTGTTACCTGAAATGTAACATCACACTTGGCACCCCAATTATTGACGTTACCAAGTCACGTTTGATCGCTTGTGGGTCAACAAATCTGACTCGTGCGCTTGCACCTAAGTTTAAATGAAAATTAAGTCGTGGGACTAATATTGTAGTAATTTTTCCTGAAATTTAATATTTTAAACTGATAATTTCACTCCTTTCATTTTACAAAAAAAAAGCACAGCCACGTGTCTTGACTGCTTCCATATAGCGCCTGAATTGTGTCTGCTTCTAAGTTTGACAATATTCTAACCCGCTAATCACACGCACAACCCCATTATAAAGCAAAAGAGCTTATTCTGACCAATTTGTGTGAATAACGGCGATTTAATTGGTTTTAGCATTATCTTCTCTTTGTCTAAAAGTACCTGATGTCTAATCTGGTATTAGCCCTGTTCATTTTTTGCAATTGGGACTTGACCTGATGTGTTCTGCAAGGGTGGACATAAAACAGCCTCTGTATACGAAATGATTCACGACTAAAACGATGTGAATGGGACTGCTGAAGTGATGTGTGAAGTAAACGCCATGCCGCGTTGTGGAGGAGCAGACGAGGTCCAGTGAGACAGTAAGCGAAATCTAGCACCTATGATTATTTGAAGGTCTGCCTTAATAACAGCTTATTTAGTATCACCTCGTTCAAACGCACTGTTTTTAATACGGGGTCTTTTGCCCAATGCTGCGAAAACCAAGAAGCCAAATATCCCCCAAAACTCGAGCGCACGCAAAACTCGAGCGCACTACTCTTAACCAGATGCTCTTCTAGCTGTTATAAAATGTTCGAACAGTTAGGCGGACCTCGAGCCTTTTGGTGGGTGCAGCAGTGGCTGCATGGATTCTTTACGAACCAAGTAGACTAAAGGGGCTTTGAAAGAAGAGGAGGGCTCAGCCGCTCCCTCTTTCTCAACCAGGACTGTCATAGGCCCTTTTCCGTTGCTATTTCTTTCATGAATGATTACTCCCCCCCACCCCCTCCCCCATACACACACACACAAACACACAAACGATTCCGATGTCCTTCCAGTACGTCTGACACGGGTACTCTAGCTATGCTCATCACCCTTAAGAGGAAGGCTCGGAGGTGGATGATCCTTTTTAAGCATGATACATAGACATAGATGTTGATGCAGTTGCGGGCCTCATCGCCTAGCTTTGAAACTATGGGTATTTTATTTTTCTGTTTTATCGCTGTTTATCGATTCCAGGCCAGAATGTCAACATTTTTAGAAGTTAAAAAATATATTTGAATTTTCTCTTACTGACACCAACTCTTGACGGTTATGCTTTGTGTTAAATAATGCAAAATACCTTTTAATAACCATCAAAGATTTTGAAAACTTGAGGCACATTATTTTTTTCTGTTTTGCTGTGACGGTTTTACAGCAGAATCAATATACCTGACTCAAGCAATGGCAATTAAAATATTTTCAGGTTGGGGAAGTGGAACAAAGTACCAAAATAATGCAAATTATGTGGTAACAGTTCTGTGCCCAGTGTTACAAGTTAAAGCAGAATGTGAGTTGAAAATGCGCATTACTTCAGTCGCCGACTTTTGCAGTCGCTATTTAAATTCTGTCCAGCAACTTAAAAGGTCGATAATGCCTCCTCTTTTATGTACGGGACAAGCTGGTTAAATTAGCATTTTTTCTATGGTTGATTCATTGCAATAACACTATTTGTATTCGGAAGAGTACCATTACATACATGTAGTAATCCCATTAATTTTTAACATAGAAAAAATTTGAACACAGTCTACTGGAGTCGACAACCGATCAGCGTAATTATTTCTCGTTTCGCTTCATTTTTCTCAATGAACAATATTTAAAAATAAAAATTTTAAATATTTCACTATATTCATATTCTTTCAAAATCAGCCTTTAGCCAACTTCTATAAAATGAAATTAACCTTTATTCAACTTTTTTGTTTTATTTCCACAGATGGCGAATTGGCTGTGTGGAGTTTTTAGTTGTTCATAGCTCTTTAGTTTTCGTAATAATTCATAGTTCTTGGTGGATGTTTGTGGTTTTGTAATATACATTCATAACTAATATTAAAAGAACTAAAGCCTGAATTGAAGTTGATGACACGTCTTCACTGCGTGCAAACCTTTACGTTCATAAAGCTACTGGAAAGGGGGCCGTAGCAATAGTTAAAAGTTTCAATAGTTAGTTATGTTCACTATAGAACCTCCGGACCAATGAACCTTCGGACTATCGAGACGCCCTCCCCCCCCTCACCCCCCGCTGGAAAGCACACTCAATCCTTGTAGGAACCTACCCCTTCTTCCTCCACACATAGAAACATACATTTACAAACACATACTCTCATGACTGCACACCTTATACCCTGAAAATATGTTCTAATGACATTTAACCCGCATCGCAGGGTTAGAATATAGAATACGGAAATCAGCGCTTTAAACCCAAGGCCTGCAGGTAAGGGGAAAGAGGAGGGCAAACCGTCTTTTTGGCCAAAAGAGGTCCACTCTGAATCGCCTTTTTATGTACAGACACAGATGTGTCTGTACATATAGCCATCATCTGCGTCTGTCGTCGCCGTCGCCGTCGCCGTCGCCGTCGTCGCCGTCGCCGTGCACTTTTACCGATAACACGATAAGTGGAAAACTGTTTTTTCTTTTGGCTTGAAACTTACGGAACTGATGAATATTCATAATACGCAGGTCAAGTTCGAAAATCAGCATGATCGGGTCACTTATAAGGAATTTATGCTGTTTTTTCACTTTTTTCAGCATATAAACAGCACCGATAACACGATAAGTGGAAAACCATTTTACCTTTTGGCTTGAAACTTACAGAACTGATGAATATTCATAATACGCAGGTCAAGTTCGAAAATCAGCATGATCGGGTCACTTATAGGGAATTTATGCTGTTTNCACATCATATACCCTGAAAATATGTTCTAATTACATTTAACCCGCATCGCAGGGTTAGAATATAGAATACGGAAATCAGGGCTTTAAACCCAAGGCCTGCAGGTAAGGGGAAAGAGGAGGGCAAACCGTCTTTTTGGCCAAAAGAGGTCCACTCTGAATCGCCTTTTTACTTTTTTCTTTTAAATGGATACTACCTTTTTGAAGATTTTCTATGTGGGCGTCTTCAGTCTTAGGCCTTCAGTTATTGATTTGTAAATCATTTATTCAAATATTTATTTATTTATTTATTTATTTATTTATTCAATCACATATATTTGTGGTGCTTTCAGCGTCGTTTCTGGGTTTCTCTGATGAGCACAGCAAATCAATGTATTTGCCTGAGTGAGAGGGAGAGAGAGAACGAGAGATGGCATGTGTGGAAGGATTTTTTGTCAAATACAATGATAAAGGGGGCATCGAGGCCTATAAAACCGTAGACGAGTTCAGAAGACAGATGAAATGTTATATTCCACTTTAACAAACATAAGATAACATTCTTTAACATATCGTATTTACAGTCTCTTTGAAGGGTGCGTTTCTTTACATTTGCGACCTTAACACAGCAACGCCAGCATGACATCAGGGGTAAATATAGATATGTTGACAGGCCTACATGTCACCCAATACTCACACTGAAATGTAAATCACGTGCAAAGCGGAGAAGATAAAACAGAAGGGACCACCTCTCACTTTTTGTACAGGACTCACTAACTGCGCATCCGGCAGATCTGGATCCAGTTGGAAGCCTGAACAAAAAAACAGATCTTTGGAGATCTTTTTTCTGTATCCTCTAAGGTTTAAAAGGATCACAGCAAGCAGTGTTTGTACCTTTTGAATACCTAGGGAATTATTTACATTTTGAGGACTCCGATCTGATTGTTCACGTGTCGTGCTTCTGAATTAACTGTGTGCAGACAAAAGAGACGTATTGAAACGTTGTGCCAAATTCTGCAGATATTAAACTTCAATATCAAGTTATAAGAATTATAAGGAGCGGACTACCGAAGCGTGCGTCTTAAAATTATTGCAGGAGAATTATAGACCTTGACCGATTACACGCGGTGCCTTTGAGGGAAAGCTGAAGAAGTGCAAATAAGTCAAAGGTAAAGTTACCGACACACTGCCATATCCTAAGCAGTGTCTTAGGAAGCATTCACAATGTAACTATCGTTCTGCGTGCATCAATCAGATTAACATATTAATATTTATATTAACTCTTGGCGTTGAGTAGAGACCAGAGTAGCTTGTGATTAGGGGGAAAGTCTACGCGGAGTTTGATCGATCTACGTAGAACGAAAGTTTCATTGGGAATGATCCCTAAGTCATCGGAACGCTTTTAGAGTATAATGTGTAAAGTTCAGCGTGCTTTAAGTGTTAAACACTTGCATGTCAATCAGTTTGTGAGTGCGGGAAACTCTTAGTTTAAGAGCCGATGCGTGCCAATTGTTTCAGTTTCATATTTGTATACAACGGCCACAGGTAATGGGTTGGAAATAAAGAAGCAGGCGTGCGTCCATAGGGCCCGAATCAGGTAGAATGAGATTATCTATCACTCTAATGTATAGTTTTACCGCAAAACGATAGGGCTCTTCAAGATCTTTGCTATCGGTCAGTAAAATATTTAATATTTTATTTTATATTGATTTAAAAGTGTATCTGCAAATGACACGACTTTGCGTTTCATTTTATAAAAGTTTCATTTGAAAAATTATCAAAATATGAAAAAAAAAATGCTGCAGAAGCATCAGCAGAACCACAGAAAGCGGTAATCAAATAGAAGTACAAGAGTGACAAGAGTGCCCTTAGTTTCTTGTCCCGTGTATGGTCTAGTTGACATGATTTTCCATTATTCCTACCCACTTTTCTAAAAATAACAACTGCATGAAATAAATAAATAACTGATTTTATCTTCTTGAATAATAGAAAATGGTAAAATCTACCACTGTATAATGATATAATTAAATAGAAAATTATGCTGCCCTCTATGAAATTGTTTTTTAAAAAATTATAACTTTCGAAAGATTTTATTGTCCATACGAGAAAACTCACTCATCGCCTGTTATTGTAAAGTTCCCTGCTTTAGTTAAAGCAGTTAGGTCACACACTCCTTGAATTCTATCCTACTGACATACATATCTTTGCAGAACATTCTTCAAAATGATAACGTGACCCAGCCTTTGAAATGTTTTTAAGAGCAAGATAAACGATTTCAACATCCACAGGACGAAGGGTATGCAAATGTGTAATTGCATCAAACCTACGAATATTCAACTCAATAATAAATAAATGGGAACTGTGCGATGTCATCTTCGATAATGCTACAGCATTCAGGCTAACGACTTGAAAGTTTTGGCACAAGTTTGAGCATGACAATATTATAGAGACTACGGAGATTTTAAATTTGTACGATTTCGTACGATTTTGTACAGCAACCGCCTGCCTTCGCAGTGACACCTTACGGACATATCGCATGGCACAAGTAATCTAGGCTCTAAAAATATCGTTTTTAGAGGGACGCATTCGACTTTGCAGTCCATTCAAATCGAACTTTTTTCATAAAGTCAATGGCAATAGTTTTGGATTACAACTATAAAACATGGTATGCACTATTTGTCATACATTGAATGAGAACATTCCGCTCTCTGGAATCAAATTCATCCATAGTGTGCTCGAAATTAGATGTCATTGGCCCAATGCAAAGAGTTTTGTTCCGATTGGTTACATATGTCGTGGCGCACTGTGAACAGTAAATGGTAAGTATTGGTGGTTGTGAGGAACAATCCATTTATTAGCGTTTCTGACATTGCTTTGATATCAATCATACACGAGTTCTGGACGTTGTTAAAAGAAATGAGCTTTGAATTTTCTTGAAAAATTGAATTGTTGTGCTACGCAATCCATAATTGCAAATCTAGGCCGACAGAAATTGTGTAAGTGTGTTATTTGATATATATATGTACATGTAAGATCTAGGTTAATGTGGCTTGTACAGTGAAGTTCAGTGTTGTCTTGCTATGAATCGTACATCTCGGTTGCCACGTTTCAACCAATATCTAATTTCTAAACGCTTGTAATCCTAACTATCCCTTTGACATAGATCAAACGAGCTCTAGATTATATGTCGAGCATTTGATTCAGCTTGAATCAACCTCCATTGTGTTTTTGGATGTTGATAGTCGGTATATATAGACCAACAGTTAATTTTCTTTGCTTTCTTGTTGCCTTTCGCCTTAATTTTCCTCGACTAGTTGTTTCATGATGATAATCACCACCAAAGCAGTTTTTTGTTTCAGATTCCGCAACCACCGATTCATCATGGGTTCTTCTCTAGTTGTTCTTGGTGCCATCCTCCTCGTGTGTTTCCCCGTGGCGGGTGCAGCGGCATCCGAGAGTTACTCCTATCAGAACACAGGGGATATTCTAAATGTGACCCTATCGAAAGATACGGTCTCAAAGGTGGGTTACGATGCTGTATTTTCATGGTACCTTCTTTGGGGCATGGTGTAATACCAAATGAACATTTTCTTATTGTTCAGATAGAGGTGTTCACCACGTGATGTGGAACTGTGCGAATAAAATAAAATAAAATAAAATAAAATAAAGTAAAATAAAATAAAATATTATTCAAAGGTATTCTCCATCGCTGCTGGGACTGAAACTAAAACTAAGCAGCTGTATCAATACTCTGGTAACAAATATAAGTGCCCGTTACAAGTATAAGCAACTGTACATTTAATCTCAAACCTTCCTTTTTTGTGTGTGTATCGCTGATTTTATGAGTGTATGTAAACAGTTGACGAGCACTGCTAAAGGTCATTTTTTTGACATCCAACTGTTATCCTTATTTTTCACAGGAAAATTCTACCGAATTCCCGAAATCCGGATACCATGGCGACCCACACGCAACTGCAAAAAGTGAGTTGCTTAGTTTTTCAGTGTGTATGTTATAAAATAAAATCTGGATTCTACTTCCCTTTTATAACATACACATAAATTGGTGGGCTAGCATTCTTTCATTGAGAGTAACGGCACGCTCTGACAATACCTCACACGTATCTCAAATAATTTCGAATAATTATACACATTAAATCTCTTTTGACGACGCACATTTCAGACTCGATTCACTGTTATCTTTTTTATTTATCTATATCCACCTTCCACTTTCTTACACACAACAAATTTTTTTTGATGACACAAACTTCAGAAAGATTCACTATTGATGCTGTATATCAACTTTCCAGTTTGGGGCTTCTCTTGCCTGGCCGTGTTCATCAACAGTGCGATTGGACTTGCCTGTATCGCCATGGTACCCCTGCTCAACAAGACGATCTACAAGTACATGATGCAATGTCTCATAGCCACAGCTGTCGGCACTCTGAGTGGGGACGCCATGTTGCATTTACTACCCGACGTAAGGATTTGATCGAAACTTTTCGTGGTAATTTAAGAGAAGTTTCATCGAAGTTCAAATTCACAAGAGGCCGTTTGAGTACAATTTTAAAACATTATGACCTTGTGTGCATGTATACTATGCACTACAAGGACATATGATTTTATTGTATTGTATTGCATTATTGCTTTTCACGACGTTAGATTACATATATTATTTTGCATTTTGCACTGTTAGAATGAAAACTGTTTCAGGCATATGGTATAATAGCTGGGTCGGCGCAGGGCATGGACACAGAAGGCACGTGTCAACTTCCCCATGACTACAGACTTAACCCCACCTTCAAAGGTGCCTTGGCTTTGGTCAGCATATTCTTCTTCTACATGTTAGAGAGAGTTATGACAATAGTCTCTGAGAGAAATGCCGCCAGAAAGGTAAATATCAAATTGATCTAGGATTATTTTGTGAATCTTCAGTCATGATGCTTATGCGTGCAATATTCACGAATATGTGAAACGCGCAGGCTCGGATTATTTTGACCCCGAATATATTTACAATAAATTATCATTTTTCAAACAAATTCTTTATTTTAATTTAGGCAACAAGAAATTATTAAACATATACACGTAACAAGAAAAATAAAAAAAGTGATATCTTCAAATTTAACTCCAGAAAAATAAGAAGCTGAAATTGGACGCACAAAAAGAGGATGAAAAAGCAGATCTGTCGGACGAGGAGATAGAGGAGGAGGAAACAAATATCGGACCCTCTGAACACGTGATTCGGATGGTCAACAGTGGCGGTGGAGGTAGGTCTTACGCTGTTTGTCATCAAAAGATGCGCGAGTTGAGATGGATATTGATTTTGATTTTCTCATTCAAAGATCTTCACTTGAAGAACACTTCAGTACTTGAAGCTTTTTCGTTTTGATAATTGCAGAGGAGACAATTGTGAAGGCAATTGTTCTTTATGATAGGTAGAACGTGACAGATTCGAGAGCATTACACCAACATACATGTGCGACAAACGGGTTTTAATGTTATTCTCCTTAAGTTTTCTTCGCCATGCTTCTAAGTCATTTTTGCCCTTTGTCCACCGAACCTTAGAACGTCCAAATTCGCTGGTTTACTTTGGCAGTAGTACAGCATTGCATATATCAACTTTGCAGATATTGTCGACCTGCTAGACAAACTCCAACACGAGGAAGAAGCCGAGAAAAGTGGAGATGTGGACGACGAGGAGCGCCGTCGTCTTAAGTCTTCATCTTCAACTGACAGTGAAAAAGGCAGTCGTAAAAATGGGAACATTAGTCAAGCTAATGGTAAAAACCCTTCAGTCGAGGTCATAGTTCAAGGTCATGGTCACGGACATAGTCACGGAGCCGGGGCCGAGGGAGGAATGATCGGATCTATGGCATGGATCGTTATAATGGGAGATATGATACACAATTTCTGTGACGGAATAGCAATTGGTAAACGAATGTATATACATTTTGTTACTTTGACTAGGCTTAAGTGATTTTCAATTGTTTATCATTCATTTTGTTTGTTTTCAACAAATATTGTTTTTTCGTCTTTATTTTCATTTGCTTTATCATTTATGAAATGCAGTCCAGGTGCACAGTGCAGTGTATTTTCTTGTCAGTACATTCACTTCGCATTTTCAGGTATCACCGCTAATAGCTGAAATAGTTGAAAACTTAACAAGAAAAAAATTACATATTACATTATCTTACAGGTGCTGCTTTTTCACAGAGTGTGACAGGGGGACTGAGCACATCTATCGCAATTGTGTGGCACGAGCTTCCCCATGAACTTGGTAAATCTGCTCGTTTCCCATTATAATGATTTTCTCATTAAGTTTACGGCATGTGACTTCAGTTTCAGTCCTATTGAGTTCAGTGGCAATGGATGTTTGTAAAAAGACTTAAGTTATTCACTTTTCACATTGAGTAACAAAGTTCGACGCAAATGAAACAAAGTAAATTTGGTTTCTCTTCTGCTTCATGACTAGTAAAAATTTTAAATGACCCATACACGGCATAATAAACGTTATGTGTCTTAAACTGCACTTAATTGTTTTATTTTTGCTATATATACACCAGGCTTTATAGAGCTTCAAATGACTACATTTTCCCGGTGTTTTTAATTTTCCAGGTGACTTTGCCATGTGCCTTCGTGCCGGGATGTCTGTGCGCCAGGCTATGTTTTACAATCTGATCGCCTCTGTGCTGGCCTTTATAGGCATGGTGATCGGCGTGTTTGCGGGGCAGGCCCCCTCCGCTACCATGTGGATCTTTGCATTGGCTGGAGGAAACTTTTTGTATATAGCCTTGGTTGATATGGTAAGTGTATATGTGTGTGAGTGTGAGTGTGTGTGTGTGTGTTTGTTTGGGGATAATACCTTGGACTAAAACCGTTTTAATAACACTAGAAATAAGGTGAGGAGAATTCTAGTTGTGCTCAAGTACTGGGGTAGCCGCATGTGTGATTTGATAAAGGATTTCTGCTTGCGTGTAAGCAGTATTTTTAACCTCTTAGAATCAAATGTATTAATTTTTATTTTAATAAGATATGAGAAATTAAATCGAATACCGTTTCTAATGTTGAAACGAAGATCCCTAAGATCACAAGGCTTTCTTCATGGTATTTAGCTTTTTTATTTCATGCTAACTTGAAAGGTGTCGTGGTGTAATTTGTGCCTCTTTTTTTTCCTTTTTTTTTTTTTCAAATTCCAGCTCCCCGAGCTCACCCACTTTAAGGCGGCTACACTGAAGAGAGAGCTTTTAGTTCTGCTCCTGCAAGCTGTCGGCATGTTCAGTGGTGTTATACTCCTCACAGGAATTGCTGTCTACGAGACTGATGCCACTTTTTAATAATGTGACTTTAAATTAGTATACTTGCAGATACATGATTAACGATGATGGTGTTGAAAGGCAAATATACGCCTACGCACATTTGGTTCAACCTTTTTTGAGCAAAAGTAGAAATAACGTGGGATAAAAAAAACTATATTGAGTAAACAAACTATAATAATGACTAAAGCTTGGATTATGAAGTGGATGTTTGTAGAATAAACATACTATATATTTGATGCTAGGATAAATATCTGCTTTGCATTTCTTAAAAATATATTTGCCGCATTTTTAGCTATGGTTTATGAACACAGTAGGGCCTAACCATGCTAAAATAATAATCAAAAAGAAAAAAAAAACTTATGTTAAATTTTAAGGTGAATATGAACAGTCTACATCGATTTCATGTACATTTTGAGTGCGACAACAGATGTAAAAATATATACAGTACTTTTGACGCAAATTAATATTCCACTTCAACGAAGATCAGTGCATTTATGTGAAAATCGTTAGGATATTTTTACATGTTTTAAGAGCCATCGTTAGGGTTGCTCGTACTACTATATATATTTTCAATTTGTTATATATTCCTTTTTACTGTATTTGTAAATACTTTATGCGAAATCAGTTTACGTTCAATATTGTAACACCACTGCTTACATCTGCATGTGTGAAATGTATGTACAATTTCTACTTAACGAAAAAGCCGAATTTTTCCCGATTTCGGTCGAGCCAGTGCATAATTCATAATTGATGATATGTTACTTATGTTCTGCTTTGAAATTGTTTCTGTTGATTTCGATGTACACATGACAATAAATGTAACATTGTACGTAGAGTAATGCCAGTAACTTCTGTATGCATGTGATTGACGTAAAATCGCTCGACTTTTCATTTGCACTACAGAGTAGTATATTTAAAAACATTTTAACTAGAATTTTAATTAGAATATTTTAACTACATTGTATCTGCATCACGTAATATGTGTGTTGGTGAATATAAACAAAAGTAGATCCGTTGAGGGCAGGGGATGAATGGGGAGTCAAATTTTATTTTTTAACTGACATCCACCGTCTGTAAAATCCTCACTCTTTCTGTAAGTTAATTATCTCCCCGCTTCCACACGTGCCGACGCTGCATGGGCCTAGCAATTAAACATAGGAGCACATATTTAGTCCGTTTAAAGGCACGTCTGGAGTCGAAGAGACCATCAGGAATCAGCGGCATCGCTTTTGAACTGTGGTCGGCCATATTTAGTCGGCGGATCAGTAAGAACTCGGATCATCCATTCTGAATGGGACCAAAGGGAAACATATTTTGTTTCAAAATTAAGCTATTTAATTTTTGAATAATACTAGGAGATGCACGGACATCGCAAATCAGTTGGAATTCAAACCGAGACGGATAATTATTGTCAAATGGAGGAAGTAGTCAGAGCATTACAATCCCAAATGAAAGAAGGTTTAATTCATTTAGAAAACTTGATCAGAGCACAGCCATCCCTCTGTTATCCAACATCTCCACCCGACAGCCTCTCCAAGTCACTGGGAGACCCTTTGGAAAACTTCCCCACTGCCTAGCTACATGAAGGTTGCTTTCATCACCCAATCTTTTTTGGGAAAGTCGATTTTAAAATTGTTGTTGGCAAGTTCTTACACTTAAAATCCCCGCATCAGGACATCAAAGTAGAATGAACGATCACTTAATTGCGACCATGCTCAGCTTCAATCTTTATCTTAGCGAGATTGTTCTTTTGTTAGCAGAAATCAGACACGATGATTACCCTACGGGACACTGACAGGGTACTATTGTTAATAGAAGGCAAACATCGCATGTACGACAATGTTGTTTCCATGTTTACTGCAACAGGCCGCATTAACAACCCGCAGGGACCCGCATGATAAGTAAAGTTAGATTTCGGCGGCACTGTACATTTTACCACTGCATGCAGTAGGCTTACAGCTCTTGACACACTTGTTGACATTGAGGTTAAGATTGATCTTATCGCCTTTGCTTTCTTTGAGTTATGTTGATCAAAGCCACCCCTGAGTCAGCATAGCCACCCCTGAGTCAGCGTGATATTCCGGGGGTCATGGATGATAAGGAGAACAAGGGAGTGTAGCAGCACGGGGTGAGAACGTCTGCGCCTGGTTGTAGAACTAGGTTACCCAGACGCCGTTGGCGTGTTGTAGAATTTCATAGATTCCTACAAACTAGCATTTGAAGGTATAAAGTAATTTTTTTTTCAATCAACAGCAAATGCTGAAATTGTTAACCTTCGTCCATTCGATGTCTGTCTAGAGCATCTTAATCAGGAAATGAGGCTATCCAGGTGAAAAGCCTCTATTCAGGAGATATACCACCTGAAACGCTATACATGCATCTTTTAATTCTACAAGAGATCTTAAATTTTCACCATATCCAAGTAACCGTCCGATTTTTCACACATTTTGAATTATTGGTGATATTGGTGATAATGATCAGCGTTTCGTTTTTCGTAGTCGTGGTTGTGCTGTTGGTGGTGGAGTGAGGGGAGGGGGTGTAGGGCAACAAGAACGCATAGTCTAACTAAAATCACTCTTCTGCACTTGCGCAAACTTGGTTCCTGAGGTGAGAGAGGTGCGATATGCAATAAAAGGTGATGTCATCACCTGAGAGCGGGCGAATCCTCATCAATATCATACAGTTTTTACCAATATAAATTTTAAGCTATTAAACCAACGTTGTCAGTGGAACAAATTGATAAAAACAAAGATTAAAAAATATATATATAAATTTATTTATCAATTAAAATAAAGCTGGCTTATTTCCCAGACGAGTGCAGAGTTGATGTTAAAATGGTAAGAAAAGTATTTAAAACTAGTATATAATTATTTGAAATTGAAGGTTTTGTCAGTGAAAGTTTTGTTCTCTTATCATAAATCACACAAGAACATTTAAGGGGGGGAGTGCTCACAGTTTAAAAATATTCATTACGACTGCAATCTACATCTTACTCACTATAATATAGACCATTGGTTCAGCATCGTTTTAGTATTTACACGATTGCTCATAATTGTGAAATCACGCTCACACGTTGTAGGTCAACAGGGTACATGTCTAAACATATATATGATGTCCCTTTCCCCAGTCACTCACACTTGATGATAAGACGGCGTATAAAGTCGGTTAAGCCAATTTCAGATAGCGTAAAGCTTGCAGTAATATATAGAAAACTGATACGTGTAGTAAGACCAAACAAGTCGTTGCTGACACATCAGAAATTGGAAAAGACATCGTAAAAAGGAGACGAGACTAGCCAACATGGGGGACATATACTGGCCTGTCCTTTGTGGAAACGGTTCAAGATACGCAGCGTTTTGGGTAAGAAACCAGTGCATCTCTGCATGTTCCATTAATTGTCTCTAAATTTGCTTGTACAAATAATGCGTGTTCCCAGTGTACCATTTTACGGTATGTTTTCTCCAGTACATGAAGTAAACCAGATGCTGTGCACAATTCGGACAATTAAAAATATGCCGTAAAATACCGATGTCGTAACTTTGACGCCACATTTTAACAAATGACGACACACGTGCTATTTGTTGTCTCCTTACAGAGTTGGAGTCTGACAGTAAACACCAGTAATCCTGACGTCACACAATGTTTCCAGGACACGGTGTTTGTGTGGGTGTCCTGTGGGATTTTCTGGTTGTTTGCCCTCTTTTTCATCCCAGTTTTATCATCCAAACCCACCGTGCACAGGATACGTGACGCCGGAAAACTGAACTTTGCTAAAACGGTCAGTACAAAGAAAAAAATAGAAGAGAAAAATAAGATGTTTCATACTTTTTTCAATTTTTACTGTTTAATTATTATTTATTCCATTATCAAATAGGGGCCATGTGTCCTCTTTATTAAGTAAACAAATAAAAGGAGGAATTTTCTTCACTTAAAAGTAAAGCTTTTCGAAAAAAAACATTTGCCTCTTAACATTTGCACTATTTGCGAAAGTGCACAAGAAAAAAGATACATCTAAAATCGTAAAATCATGAATATTTCTCCAGTCTTTAAATATCATATTAGTGAATACTTGTCATATATTTAATGTTTTATGCATTCTATATTCAATATTACAGATTTGCAAGCCTTTAACGTACATTTACATTATCTTTCAGTTTTTCAGCATTTTGTTAATCTTGACGTCCATTTTGGATTTGTTAAAATCATTCAGTGAGATACCAACACATCACACACCACCATCCGCCTTCATTGCACCTGCCATATACGCTATCACATTTGTAAGTCCACTTGCTTATAGCATATTATATAGCATATTCTACCTATAATAGAACCTATAACTCTTGGAAGGTCCTTTAAGAAGCTTTTTTAGAGTTTCGTGCGACTGAATGAATTCCTGTTGCACAGTTTAATGGCGGTCACAACAGGCATTTGTCTATGATAATATCCGTCACTTTTCACTTTATTATCCACTAGTGCTGCTCACAAACAGTCTTAATTTCAGGGAATGTCATCGTTTCTGATCACGTACGAGTTTAAGAAAGGCGAGGTGTCCTCAGCCATGTTGTTCATCTTCTGGTCCATACTTCTCCTACTAGGGGGTGTGTCACTAAGATCTAAAATAATGCAGGTGCAAACTCAGGTGAGTGTTCACATAGCATTTTATGTAAACGACAAAGACGATAAAGACGTCAACCCAAAGATATTACGAAAGCATGACCTCTCTTGGTTTGCCAGTAGAAAAATTAAAACGGTTGAATCTGCATGGTGCACGTTTGCTTCTGTTTTCACCCCTAGTATAACCGGAGCAATATTTCATAAACCGCCAAAACGAATGACATATCTTATTTTAGGATCTTGAGAGCATGTTCCGCGTGGTGACATTCTGCGTTCATTACACCTGCATCGTCCTTGAGTTCATTTTACACCTGTTCGGGGATCCCAAAGCGCTGCCAGAAAGCACAACTGACAGGGGAGCGTGGTCTGAAAAACAACCCATTATGGCAAAAACTAAATCCTCAGAGGAATCAAATGATAACTGGGTATGGACATAGACAAATTCCTTGGCTGTCAGAGATACAGCGCTTAATTGATGCTAAATTTCAAAAGACACATTTTATTTCTAACTTTCTAATAATCGGCTTTTCTTTGTACATGTAGTATTTTAATAACGTTGGCAATCAGTTATTGCCGTACTTCGAAGGCGTACGTTGCATTTGCACATGACGACGCAAGTTTAAAGTTTGAGTGAATGATTCAGGGGAGGAATTTGACTTAGTTTTTAAGATTGAGATTTTATTTTCATTTCAGGAAATGACACCAGAGAGAAGGGCGTCCTTTTTATCTAGAATATCATACTGGTGGATAACAAAGTCAGTCAAAGCTACATGTATTATAAGATCTATATATATTTTTATTATTTCAAAGTTTGACAATCGGATTATTCAAAACTTTCCAATATTCAAATTTCAATAGAGTTAGAGGTTGCATTGATGTACAGAACTTATTATAGTTTCGTAATTTGTTATTTTATATGATTACGCGTATAAATTTATATTTATGTGCTTGTGCAAGCTTGTCTGCGAAAGGCTGAATTTCATTAACTGATTGTCTTAATATATACTTGGCATTTGATATGATCTCAGACTTATAGTGAAGGGATACAAACAGACTCTGGTGTTTGCTGATATGTACAGACTGCTTCCTGAAGACTCATGTGACGTCATTCTTCCAAAGTTTCTCAGAGAATGGGGAAAAGAGAAGGAGAAAATGAGGTACGCGGATGCCCTCTTCGTAGATAAGTCTTAACCGATTGAGAATCGTCCGTCTGTAATTTAGAACTGTTTTTTTCCATAGGCATATTCGTTTTCACTACAAATAAATTAAATTCCTTGTGTTATACAGTATGTGCATTATTTCTTAGTGTTTCAGCCGTTCGTTTCACTGCAAGTCAGACCTACGGCAGTATTCCCAATGGGCACCAAAACTACCACCAGATGAATAACGAAAACCAATCTGCCAAGACGACTCGAACAGATAGTGTGACAATGGAGTCAGCACATGTTCCGGGGCGTGGAGAACCAAGCTTACTAAAGACTCTACTACGAACATTCGGACCTTACTACGCTATTGCCGCACTGCTTCGTCTGACTTTTGATGCTGTTACATTCGTCAATCCAATGCTGTTGAAGTAATAAAATAGTCTAAATCGATTTTCCTACCACATGCATTATTATTATTATTATTATTATTATTATTATTATTATTATATCTGTTGTTGTTGTCTTGAAATAAAAGCAAAAGGAGGACCGAAGAGCCAAATATGAAAGTATATGTAAAGTGATATTCTAATCTCGGCAGATCCTTTTGCTACATTGATTATTATGTTTTAAAAGCCCACGATGCAAACTAAAACAAGTGCTTGTGAACTTTTATTTTTATGTGATAAAAAACTAATTAATGACAGTTGTCTTATAATAAGTTGTCAAAGAGAGAGATATATATGATCAAACTGCTTTTTCCATTTCAGCCTGATAATTACCTTTGTAGAAACTGGCGACCCGCTCACGTGGCGGGGTTACTTGTTGGCCGTGGTAATGTTTTCAGCCAGTATGCTGCGTTCCCTGATCAATCAGAGCTACAGACGAATTTGCTTGAGAGTTGGATTAAGGATTCGCACGGCTATTATAGCAACTGTGTATAGGAAGGTGTGTCTCGTTATGTCTTTTACAATGTTGAGAATGGTAAAGAAGGTGCTGTGGGTATTTGGAAAGCTGGTGTATATCATATACCAAATTATACCATACACCATATACCAATCATATACCAAATTATACAATGCTATTTTCATCCAGATGATCACATGGTTTACAGAGTATGTTTCAAAATATGAATATCGTGACATACAAGTACAGTAAATTATCTCTGTACCATTAAGACATATAAAACCACATCAAATATAACTACATTATCTTATCTAGTGAGTAGCGACTTTTTGCAATATTGATATGTAGCACCTTACCCATATTTTTTTCTCAAGTCATTGAAGTTAAGCAGCGCTGCAAGGAAGAAATCAACAGTGGGGGAGATTGTTAACTTAATGTCAGTAGACGCACAGAAGATGCAGGACGCGACTATCTTCTTCCATATGGTCTGGTCATCCACTGCAGGCATCGTCGTGGCACTGGTACTGCTATGGCAATATCTAGGACCGGCATCATTGGCGGGTCTAGCGGTCATCATACTTCTGCTACCGGCCAATGCCTATTGTGGGATACAGATAAGAGCGCACCAAGTTCGTTGAATCTTCAGTATTATTCCCTGTTGCATATTTCATAGAGATATTATATTTTATCCATGTTTTCTATATGATTTTCATTTCATTAAAATGCCTTTTCAAGCGACTTGCAGATAATGAAAAATTATAAACATGCAGATAAAGAATTCCACAAACTGTCTATGAAAATGTCTATGAATATGCGAAGTAAAACTTACTTGGCTATATATATACATTGAAATTATATACTGTAATGGAATATGTAAAATATTACCTGACCTTTTAACATCAGAATTAAAAAGAATGTACTTTTTCAGGTTCGACAGATGGCTCAGAAAGACAAAAGATTGAAAGTTCTCAATGAAGTTTTAAATGCTATAAAGGTAAACTTAATAATAAATGAATTTATCAGAACAGCAAAACATAAAATTATGTTTAATATCCACAATCAACTAGCACCTTCCTATGTCTCTACCTATTTCATCCCGTTTAGAAATAAATCCATGCTACCCCTACGAACAACATCTAAAAGAGACTACATTATTCCCTCTAAATTTACATACAAAGGTCCTGAACATTTTTTGATGACAAGCTGGGATGAACTAAATACCACTCAAAAAAATCTTCCTTCTGCATCCTCCCTCAAATATAACCTTAGAAATGAAACCTTCCCAGCAACAATGTCCACCACCCATCTGAAGCTTCCGAGACAAAATGAAAAAATTCTAAATAAGGCCCGGGTCGATTTGTTATTTAGAGCCCAACTATATGACCACAACTGGACAGCTATGGCTTCTCCCAACTGTTTATGTGGGAAACCCGAAACATTTTTTCTTTCAATGCCCACTGAAACAGAGGAAATATCGCGATCTCTACGAATCTGTTGAGGATACACTTGGTGTAACTTGCTCATATTTCAGAACCCAACTAGATAAGATATCCCTCTTCCTACATGGAAGAAACCCTCACTCCCCTCTAATGCCACTCATGTTCTCGACACTGCCTTTCCTTGAATATTAGTATTATTATTATTATTATTATTATTAAATTCCAAAGGTGAGCATATAATGCCTAGGCGAATTGCCACCTTTATTTATACTGTATCAATATTTAACCCTCTTGAGAATAAAAATGTTTTTAAAAAAAAAGCAGAACAGTTATATTCTTTGTAACAAACGTTTGTAATAAGAGGCATTTATGCATTTAGATTGCAGATTTTGAATTTAGCAGAACAGTTGTATTTTTTGTATCAAACGTTTGTAATAAGAGGCATTTATGCATTTAGCTTGCAGATTTAAATATTATAAGGAAACTTTTTATACACATTGAATGTACTCTATTAAACCTTATGAATAATTAGATTTATTTTAATAGATTTTGAAGTTGTACGCGTGGGAAGAGTCATTTCAAAGGAAAGTTACTGGGATCCGTGACACTGAACTTAGTTCACTAAAGAAAGTACAGATTGCAAACGCTGCGTCTTCCCTTATTTGGTTTTGTGCTCCATTACTGGTGAGTATGACGAACGTAAAGTAAGCCCGAAATAGCACAATAAACCCATTTATTTATGCGTATCATATTATAGGATATATAGGATTATGTAAAATGAATAATATCTATTTGGGCTTAAAATACGTTAACGCACAAAAGTATGGCTTCAAGGAATGAAAAAATGCCTATTTAACTTTGTGCAGATATTTACAGGCATGCCAACGTACACATGTGGTACGTTCTCACTATATATTAACTTAGAATAACCTTTGGCAATGCTTTCAGATGGCGTTGGCCAGTTTCGCAACCTTTGTTCTCTCGGATCCCAACAACGTTCTTGACCCGAACAGAGCATTTGTCTCTTTGTCGTTATTCACCATTGTCAACAGCTATGTGGCGGTTTTTCCACTTTCTCTTATGTCCTTGGTTCAGGTAAACTTTAAAGATCTTTTTTTTTTTGACACTATATAATTTCACTGTATATAAACAAAACTAAGTTGGTCTTATTGGCATATTACAATAGTTTAACATTCTGAAAAACATTGCTTGCCTGTCTGTACCAGTAGAGTTCAATTTTTTAAACCTAGATTACGATGTCCCACAGGCAATGCATATTGGGCGTATTCCCAGACATTTAGATCGATCTATCCCCGTGGTGAGTTTCACTAGATTACTGTCAGATAATCCGACTTAAATGTCCATCCCGCCTACTACATGCTGTAAGGGGGTAATTAATTTTTGTGCCCGCTCGGCTGACAGCTATTTAGCGTGAACCCCCATGGAGTTAGGTCGATCTAGTTTGGATCGATCTAATCTGTGGTAATGGGGTCTTTGTAACCTTATGTCAATGTCTGCCCATTTTGTGCCCTGTTTTAACTCTCTATGGATATACCTCTGTATGGAGGCGTAAAGAGGCCAATTTTATGAAAGCATATTTAGTTGACAAAGAGGCTGAGTTATAATGATGACGATAATTAAATTATATCATATTTTTAGGCTGGTGTTTCTATTGGAAGAATAAATAGATTCCTCAAAGGTGAAGAACTGGATACGACCGTGGTCGATAGAAAAACCTCAGCTAGTAAGAAACCTAATATTTTATCTTACATACAGGTATCTATGTGCATCTTAACAGGGGAGAGATTTAAATTGTGTAAGTCGTCTGTGATTAAAAAAAAACAGATTCTTACTTTTATAAATCCTCTCAAT